TTCCTTCTCCTTTGAACAACTTTTAGGACAAGGTGCTGTCTTTTTTAAGATAAGCATGCAAGTTCCCTTGGTCCTCACCATGCATGCAGATGTTGGTAATGCAATGTCAGAGCAGAACCCAGAAGGAAGGAAACCAGCACGGTGCATCTGCAAGCTTCCGAATGCTTGCTTTGTCCAAGATCAGCCATGCCACCGCTTTGAGCGCGATGCAGTTGCTGAGGAAGTTCCTGGAGAACAGCTCCATTTTGCATATAGTGCTCTGGCGATGATCAGATAGCCTATGATGGAGAGGGTCACTAGTTTATTTCTGGGTTTTTGGCTAAGGCTCCACAATGCGTATCTTTGTCTTGTAATGCCTGGGTATTCCCCTTCAACTTTGTCCCTCTCAAAACCAGGCTTCCACTGGCTGATGCCTTCTAAATACGTTGGGGCACAGCTCATGCCATCCCCAATGGCCATGCAGACTGCAAATGATGGGCATTGTGGTCCAACACATCCAGACAGCATAAGAAGCCATCCAAGAAAGGAAGGGATGATGTGTGCGTGCAAAGGAGGGCCACACACTATCTTTTCTCTACTGAAATGACTGTCCTTGAGGATGTAATGGGCACAGAGCTTCTAGGAAGTCTTCCATCCAGGATTTTCTTCGAGCAGGACCAAGCTATGAAGCACAAGTGCTGGACTGGAAGTATCTTTAAGCTCCATAGTTTTCAGCTTTGTCCTTTAACGTTTGACTGACAGTGCTTTAGCTGGACCTATTTCAACTGGGTTTTGGCCTGGGACATGGGACTGAGATTGTTTTGGTCACCTTAGTGGATGAACCCAGAACTGACTCAGGAAAGGGCAGTCCTACTAGTTGTTGTCCTCTTGCTAACCATGGATCAACCTTGGCCATGTGATCTTCTGGACCACCTGGTGAAGTATGGCAGCCCCTTGGGGCACTGACGTGCAGTGTTTCCAGCCCCTCCTCTTGGGACATGTCCAGAAGGTGGTGCTGGGGGACTACTATTTGTCACGGCACTCTTGGGTCTCTGGTGTCCCACAGGAGAGCATCTCTGTGAAACCACTGGAAGAGTTCACCCCAGCCCTTGGGTGATACACCATCAGTATGTTGATGACATACAGCCCTACTGCTCTTTTCTACCTGGCTCCAAGGACACTGTCAACAACCTCGAGTGCTGCCTGGGTTTGACAACAAGCAGGATACAGGCGCACAAGCTGAGATTAAACTCAGAAAAGACAGAAGTGCTGTTAAGCAACAGAATGTCCAGCTCAGAGTGGGATTCGGTCTGCTTTGGAAGAATGTCCTGGAAGAATGCCTCAAAGGTTCAGTCGATACAAAAGGTAGCAGCTAGGCCCATGACAGGTAACTAGCACATCTTATCATCATCATCCTACTACGGAAAGGCCAGCACTGTTTGCTAATTGCCCTGAGAGCCACTGTAGTGTCCTGGTGTGAGTGTTGGAGTGGGGACCCCAGAGAACTGAGTTCCAATCCTCACTTGGCCATGAAGCTCACTGGGTGACTTTGGGCCAGTCATTCACTCTCAGCCTAACCTACTCACAGGGTTGTTGTTGCGAGGAGAAAATGAACCTACGTGAACCACCCTGGGTTCCTAACAATTTTGTAAGCCGCCTCGAGGCTTTTTGAGAATGGGGCGGCATAGAAATGTTCTGAATGAATGAATGAATGAATGAATGAATGAATGAATGAATGAATGAATGAAGGCGGGGTATAAATGTAGTATTCTTTCCCAGGCGAAGTTCAAGGTGAGCCTGGAATTAGACTGGGTCACAGAACAGGAAGCAAGTTCTTCTGTTAAGAAGACTGCAGACCCTCCACCCTCCCTTCAGAAAAGCCCCCACTTCACCTTCCACCTTGGAACAACTTGCCATTGTCACTGGCACCCACACGTCTCTGAGCCATGGCATCCTGGCAGAAGGCAGAGACTGTGTCACCACAGTGGCACTGCGGGATCTTTGGTGGGAGAGCAGTGCCTGGAAAGTACCATCATGGCCAAGGTCATTCTGCCACAACACACGACACCGAGAGAGATGATGGCAGAGATTCAGGAGTGGGCGCCCCGAACAATGGACACAGTCAGAAGAGGAGTGGGAGGAAATGAGATCAGAGGCATGTCAGAAGGGGCTTGTGGAAGCTTGCTGGCCAGTGCCTCTTAGCTGCAGGAAATAGCATTCACCAGATCATGTTGAGACGCTGCACAGGGCAGCCCTGTGGTCAGATCTGCTTATCCAAAAGAACAGTAGTACAGTTGGAAAGGGCCTATAAGGCCACTGAGTCCAACCCCTGCCCCACTTCCACACGTGGGCACCCGTCCAGCTGTAGGCCCATACCTTTCCAGCTTAGCCAGGGTGACTCAACACGCACACCACAAATGCACTCCATTTGTGCACTTTATAGTTCTCAGGCAGCGTATCAAATTATTTGCAACATTCCTTGGAGAAGTCTGAGGAACCCAAGTTAGTCTATTTGTGAAAATGTAAGCATCACAGTTAAGGCAGCTTTCTAGAACCAACTACAGTGTCACAGAATGATGAGCAAGTTCAGGCAGGGGGACACAATTTGGGAGGGGGAAGATTGCCAAATTACAGATGCCCTGTTATCAGTTGTTGTTTGGCCATTAGATGCTTTGTTGCCTTCAGTGGCTTCCTGAAAATGAAAGGCCGTTGCTTTAATACGTGCACCCCACCCCCTCCAAGCTGCCATTCCTTATGGAGAAGGAACAAACATGTAAACAGGATGCCAAACAAGAGTGACTTCAACTCTGCTTTGATTTGAAGCAGGGAAGTGCCCAGATTCTGTCCCCAGATTAGAGCAATTTCTAGGTGGTTCTAATCCAGGTCATCTCCATGCCCAGGCGGTCCCAGGATGAGAAATTCATTCACTCAGTGTGCCCATCTGTCATCTTCATTTAGGCATAGCTGAGTTTTTACCTGATTTCCCTCCACCCCACCCTGGGCATGAATCACACAGAAAAAGGTGACAGCAGGGGAAGGAAAGTATTTTGTTACCAGTGAGCTGGCTTAAAGCCATTTGCGATCACCGGTTGTTTCTTGGTCTAGAATACACCCAAGCCAAGCCATGCCTCGCCTTGTGCAAATCTCAGGTTAGATATAAACGAAGGTTCTTCTCGGAAGTTTTCACTATTTTGCCATGAGAACGTATTTCATTGTTCCCACATGGACCTGGATCTCAGAGGATGTGCAGTACCAGCACCGTTGCCCTCAGAGTTGCACTGTTGCCTCTTTTCGCCTGTCTTCCTCCCCACTTGCTTGACTCCCCATTTGTTCCCATGCATGGCAGCTAGAAAACAAGGGGGCTTTTATCTTACCAATGAAAAATAATCACCCTTGTCTATTTGAAAGTAGATGCAGTTGAACAAGATTGCAAAATTAGGCAAAGGGCTTTAGAAAGTCCTCTGGTGCCCCCCTGTGGCTACTAGCTTCAAGTGCTCTAGGGAAAAATATCCATGAACACCATCAAGGTGTTAGGCCTACAACAGCAGCCAGATCAACACCCTCTACACTGGCTGCCTTTGAATTCTCAAAACTTTAATCTCATCCAGAGCAGGACTGTCAAAACATCAACTTGGAGACAAGGTATATGTGATACCCATTTTAAGACATTTTGCTGGCGCTAAGTTGGTTTCTAGAGCTAATTCAGAAGGCTGATTGTAACCTTTTAGGGATTTAACCATTATGTTTGGAAAAGCTCAAGGGCCTTCTCGTATTCATACCTTCCTCAGAGGCTATATTGTGAGCCCACTCCATCCCTTCCATCTGAAATATTATGATTACCCAGACTAAGTAGAAAAATGAGACTCTTTTCTCAGGGACATTAACTGTACTCCATCTTTGGGGAGGCTTTCAGGCACCTGGCAAAGGTGATTTTTTTTTCAGAAGGGTTTTGTGACTCTTATTACTTTTACTCTGGGCAAAACCAGCAAAGTGGCTTGTGGCACTTTTGACTGAATGCAACTATTAAGGCAAAAAAGACATTTCACTATCAATATTGTTTTTTGCTTCCTCTTACACTTACATAATTTGTCAATTTGTTTGCTAGTTCTAGTTTTGTAATGTTTAATTTCATCCTAAGTATTTCAAGTAGGCTCTTATTAGCTCAAAGGACACTTTAAAAAAATGTCCAAAACATCTCCAGTAATGTTTAATATTCCTGCCAAAATAGCCCCACAGGAAGGCAAATATTGGCTAGTGATAGGAACCACCTCATGAATAGTTCACTGAAGGAGCTATTGTCTCCAAAATGGAAAATATACCCATTTAAACAGACACACTATGTAGCAAGTGTCACCAGATATTGGTGGGAGTTTTCCCCAGATTCACTCTGCTGATGGTCATAGATGGTCCTGTTAGGCCCTCAGAATGCCAAGCACGTACTCTTTTCATTGTATTTAGAGTATTCAAGAGGATCTGCTCATCTAAGGAGTGACAAAAAAATGACTGCTTCAGATAATGTGTCAGATGTGGCCAAGCATATTCAAGCTGCACTTTAAGAAGAACGCAAGACAGACAAGGTTCACCTGTGGATTCTGCAAGGCAAGCTGGTCTTGCAAAGGAAATCTCCTGGCTCCAAAAATACAGCACACTCCCTTCCTGGTGCCACCTACATCCAGAAGCAGCTCCCAGGTCGCACGCAGGCATCAGAGAGCACATCACAGAACAGAGGAGCCAATCTCAACCTTGCTGTCTGCCACAATTTGAGGCACTAGTGTACGTGTTTGTAGTAAACCATATTCTGCAATCAAAGCACACCTTTTGCAACCATACAATTATCTCCCACTGACAGAATCTAGCGGTAAAATCCTAGCAGGGGAACCGCATATACCAGTGGAACAGATCCCCCTCCCATGTCCAGCCTCCCACCTGTTTTCGAACTTTCAAGGGACCTCTGGAAGGTTCTGGGGCAGCATGGTGGAGGAAATTTTTGACACCAACAACAATGCTGCAGACCAATCATATAAGCAGACCATTCTTAAATCCATTTATTGAGGTCAACAGTAGAAACTGGCATCATTCAAACCATCTCCTTACATAGGCTTAGGGGGTGGTCTTGGTGCAGCACCCTGGAAAAAAGAAAGTATGCATCAGATGAAATTTGTCCCTTTTTGTTACTAAAGACAACAGCTCTTAAATACTCAATTGCCATCCTAGAGCAAGCTCAATACAGACATGTTGTAGCAACTGAGCACTGTCAAGAAAGAGGTAGTCTAGAGCTAGCTCTGCCCCATGGAGTAATCTTGAACTCCAGGACCAGGTACACAGTAAGGAAAGGGACTGGTCACTCCAGAAAGCATAGTGAGGACTCTGTATAAACAATTCAGTTGCCTCCTGGGACAATGGATGTGGGAAGCCTCTACCAGGTTCACGAAGGTGCTCAAGTCTGTTTTTAGGTGCTTAATACTGAGTGTGTGAGAATCCTTCTGCAGTACCCACCCCCCAAGTCATGAAAAATCTAAAACAAGGATCAATGGAATAACACATTATACTGGGGGGAAGGGGGGATTAAGAACATGAACAAACAGAAGTACAGCAACTCAATTCTTTCTCTTTCTAGGAAGGAATACCTCAGAAAGACAAATCTTCCATTTTTGCACTCAGAAGATTTGCTTATATAGTCACAGTCAAGGGATACGATTCCATGTAAAAGCACAAAAAGGGATTCCAGTGCACACAGTGCTCCACCATTAGGAGTTTTCTGGTAAACTATAGTAATCTATATTCAGCACAATCACATGGATACTTACTGCAGGCCTGAACCTGGGTGGAGGGGTACGGTCCTTCCGGGCTTCACGAGAGCGATTTCTCACCACCTTGCTGTGGATGGCACAGCTAACACAATAGTGAAGCTTCACATAGAGCTTGGGCAGCACATATGCTAGGAAGAAGAACAAGTGTGAGAAGGTCCTGCTAGTAAGGCAAAATCTCAGTCCTGCAGCACCAAGGGCAATGTTCCCAAGTTTCCTAATGGGAGAAAGGAGGTAATCTCCTGTGATTTACTAAGGTTTCCAAAGGAAGCGGAATATGTACATATTTCATTTTTATACTGCTCCATAGGCAAGGTTCTGTTGTTCTGGCACAAGGGACTGAATATCCAACATAATTACAAATTCTTTAGTGACAAGGGGATCCAATATTCTTTTCCTCACGAAGATCCTTCCTTTAGTATCTTCAGGAGTAAGGTGCCTCAACAAGGAAAGAATTTCAGATCACAATATCTACAGATTTCCAAGCATAGATTTCTAATTTTTAAACAACTATGAAATATATTTTAATTTCTATATACAAAACTTTTCAAGCAAACATAAGGCTTGCCTCTCATCTGGTTTACCCTTATATGCCCACCCTTCCCCCTCTGCATTTCTGGATGCTGAATTAGCAAAGCTTAAGACACATACAAATTACACAAAATAATATAGCCAGTGAGATTGGGATTGTGGTGTTTATGTAAAAACTTTTCTTTTAAGCCAGCTGCACAATACAGGTCATTAACAATGCTGAACAGAATGGCCAGGCTGCCGAGCTCTGCTCTGGGAAGAGGGTCAAGTTCAAAAGATGAAACCAGTCTTCATTCCACCCATCTCAGACATTAAGGGAGCTATTACCTCCCACTGTAATGCCTCCTTTTCCAGTTTTCATTTGCTGTCCTCCAGGTCTTTTTTTGTCATAGAACGCACCGGGTTTGGCACCTTTTTTTCAATGGATTTTAAAGTGATTTTGAGAGCATAGCAGATCAGCAGCAAACATAATGAACACAGTGCCTGCAGACTGCTATTGTGTCTGGTATCTGTTATCTGACAGGCTTGGGATTTGGTGTGTGTGCTTACTGCTAGCGGCGACCTGAGTTCCAGCCCCCCCCCTTTTTTTCTTTTTTACAAAAAACGCACTGCTTCCTTGTAGAATGGAAAATTAAAAGTATTGCACAGTGGTAAAAGATACTTACAGTCAAAGACACTTGCTTCAGAGATATCTCTGACTGCTGCTGCTTCTACAATGTTTCGGATGACAAACTTCTTAATAGCTTTGTCCTTGGGGACACATCGGGCACAGTTAGTACACCGGATGGGCTGGACATGGCCCCGGCCTTTCTTGGCCCGGCCGTTATTCCTTCTCTTCTTTGTCTGTTTAGAAACGAAAGATTATAATGTCAAAGTACTTAAAGACCAAAACAAACTTTGCAAAATATTGTTTAATACGTAAATACCACCCATGAGTCTTTTTCTGAGGTCACATATTTATATAGTCATGTGGAGACAAGCATAAAATTCTTCATAGCAAGAAAACCAACCACAGGTTCCCCAGAACTGCTTGAATTCACATGGCAAATAAAGATCAAGCCTTCGCCTTGGATAATCAGGACAAACAAAAGCCAGGTGTCATAATTACATCACATCACCGCTTCTGGGCTTCTACAGCACAGGCTTTCAATTCATTACAGGACAACATAGTGAGGGTCACCAATGTAAACAGCTTCTAGGGAGGGATGGGGTTATGAAAGTTGATTAAGACCTCTGTATTATGAGGAAATGTGTGCTGGGGATAAATAATGGAACAGGGCTGCAGTTGCTTTCATACCCCATTTGTAATTGCTCAATTACATGGACCCTGGTCTGATGCAGCAGAGATCTCTTGTACGGGCCAAGAAAGGATGCATGGTTCATTCCAAAATAAGCTGCATGGGTTGCAAGCACACAATAATTAAAATCTCATTTTAGTTTGGTATTAAATGTGGTTCCCTTTCCTTGAAATAATGTAAAACAGCATCTCTAATTTCTCAAAGCATTTGGCCAGTCAGGCTATGAATCCACATACTGGATGGACCTTTGGCGTGATCAAGGTTGTGCAATTTCTATACCATTTAAATTTGTTCTACCATCATGAAATGCTCCTACTGTCTCCATTTTTAGTAATTTATCTCTGATAAGGTGGGGGGGGTTGCTTTACTTTTTGGAAACATCGTGAAGATGCCTTTTAAGAATGGGACTACTGCAGTATTTAAAGGAAACATCAGTCTCCATAAATGAAATGCAAGCATTCATAACATGCCCTCAGTTTGTTTTCATTTTACTGACTGCATTCATTTCCTTTTTCTGTCAATACTACCTTTCCTTCATCAGGGAAAGCAAGCCAATGTACATGATGGGAGTTCACAGAACATCCATCCAAACACTGACCAGCCCCAACCTTAACTTGTACTTGTCAAGTTCCTCGGGTTCCCCGAGCAGCTTTTTCGGCCGCCTTGAAAGCTGAATTGCTCCACCGTGAGTTCCATATTTAATTTGTCTGATTTATAAGCCCCCTTAGGGGATTTTGAGAAGGCACTTAAAGCGCCTGCACCACTCCGATTCGCCTTCTGCAGCAAGGCACGTGGAACAGGCCTCAAAACCGCGAGCGCCGCTCGAGCCCCACGCGGGATGCCGAGCGGACGACCCATTCAGCAAACTCGGGGCGGGGGAGAACGGGACCAACTGGAAAGAGGGGGACTGCCGCTGCAAACCCCCCCAGGTATTTCCGGACGCGACCACGCCAAACGCAGCGGAAGGGGACGCGGTCACCCTGACCTGGAAAGAGCTTCTCTCTCCTTTCTATGCCATTCCCAAGATCCCCCCGGCCCGTCCCTCATGGCGCTGCCTTCAGGCCCTTCGCCCCTCTCCGGCCCGCGAAATCGCGAGTACACCACCTACCATCTTGACGCCCAGGCGACCAAAGAGAGCCCGCCTCCTTCCCTGCGCTCCTTATATGCTATCCCTCCGCCAGGCGGAATTCCTTTGTCCTCATTTCCGCCGACTCTTAAAAAGGTTTGTCAAAGAAAAGGGAAATTTTCTGCAGTTTGGTTGTTCTCCAAGCACTGGAGGAGGAAAAAGCAAGAACTGAGTCCGAGTTAGTCTACCAACTCCGCTTTCTGGGCTTTTAATGAATGGGATTATATGCCTTCTCCTTCTCTGCGGAAGGATTATTTTCAATGAAATAATTTTAACTCAACATCCGTTAGTTTCCCAGAATGCATCAGGGGAAGGATATTCCCCCCTTCAGTTGCAGAAGTGCATGCAGGGAAATGTAGTTTTTCACCTTATCTGGTAAGGTAGCGCACGTGGGGAGGCGCACTAGTAATTTACTTGTCGAAGCACCTGGTCGGAAGGCCTAGTAGAACTTGTGGCTGGACCAATGGAGTTTTGCTCCCTGTTTAAACAGTTGTGTAGGTTTCTTCTGTTTGCAGTTCCATGAGTTTTCTGAAACTATGTGAATATTCAAGTTTTGCAGCATATATATATATATAAAACTGTTATCTAAAAAGCCAGTGAAATCAGTGGGAGTGACACCCAACACTTTGCCTGTGATTTCAGGGCTGCTTTAGTACTGCAGAGCTCAGTCCTGGGACCAGCACTCTTCAACATCTTTATTAATGATCTTGATGAGGAAATGCAATGAAAGATAATTAAATTTGCAGATGATACTAAACTGGGTGGAATAGCTAACACCCTGGAAGACAATAAGATCCAGGGAGACCTAGACAAGCTTGAATGCTGGGCGGAAAGAATGGCATTCAACAGGGACAAATGCCAAGTTCTCCACTTAGGCAAAAATAAATACATCAGCTGCATCAATACAAGAAGGGAAATATTTGGCTCAACAGCACTGAGAGTGAAAGGGACCTTGGAGTTGTAGACAACAAACTAAATATGAGCCAGCAGTGTGATGCAGCTGCAAAAAAAGGCAAACATTATTTTGGGATGCATAAATAGATGTATCACTTCCAGAGATAGAGAAGTACTAATTCCCTTCTACTATGCATTAGTCAGACCTCACCTGGAATACAGCATTCAGTTTTGGGCACCCTGGTTTAAAAAGGATGCTGATAATCTGGAGAGGGCTCAGAGGAGGGCAGCAAAGATGACACAGTGCCTGGAAAATAAGCCTTATGATGAGAGGCTGAGAAGAAGACTACAAGGTGACATGATAGCACTCTAAAGGTACCTCAAGGGTGATCGCAGAAAAGAAGGAAGATACCTTTTCTCAGTCATCCCAGATTATAGGACATGGAACAATGAACTTAAACACCAGTACACTGGGTGCAGGGTGCTGTTGTTGTTAGTCGCAAAGTCATGTCCGACCTATCGCAACCCCATGGACAACATTCCTCCAGGCCTTCCTGTCCCCCACCATACCCCGGAGTCCACTCAAGCTCACACCAACTGGTTCAGTGACTCCATCCGGCCACCTCATCCTCTGCCGTCCCCTTCTTCTTTTGCCATCTATTGTTCCCAGCATTAGGCTCCTCTCCAGGGAGTCCTTCCTTCTCATTAGGTGGCCAAAGTATTTGAGTTTCATCTTCAGGATGTGACCTTCTAAAGAGCAGTCAGGGTTAATCTCCTCTAGGACTGACCGGTTTGATTGCCTTGCTGTCCAAGGGATTCGCAGGAGTCTCTGCCAGCTCCACAATTCAAAGGCATCAATTCTTTGGCACTCAGCCTTCCTTACGGTCCAACTTTCACAGCCATACATTGCAACTGGGAAAACCATAGCCTTGACTATATGCACTTTTGTTGGCAGGGTGATGTCTCTGCTTTTTAGTATGCTATCTAGATTTGCCATAGCTTTCCTCCCCAGGAGCAAGCGTCTTCTGATTTCTTGGCTGCAGTCCCCGTCTGCGGTGATCCTGGAGCCCAGGAAAATAAAATCTGTCTCACTACCTCCATTTCTTCCCCATCTGTTTGCCAGGAAGTGAGAGGACCGGATGCCATGATCATAGTTTTCTTAATGTTGAGTCTCAAGCCAACTTTTGCGCTCTCCTCCTTCACCCGCATCAAGAGGCTCTTTAGTTTCTTTAGTTTAGTTTCTTTAGTTTCTTCACTTTCTGCCACGATAGTGGTATCATCTGCATATCTGAGGTTCTTGATATTTCTCCCAGCAATCTTAATTCCAACTGGTGATTCATCTAGCCCCGCTATTTGCAAAGCTTCCTCTGACAGCCATTTTGCTTTCTTGCATTTCTTTTTCTTTGGGATGGTTTTAAGTTGCTACCTCTTGAACAATGTTGCGAACCTCTGTCCATAGTTCTTCAGGCACTCTGTCTATCAGATCTAATTGCTTAAATCTATTTGTCACCTCTACTGTATATTCATCAGGGATATGATTTAGGTCATACCTGAGTGGCCTAGTGCTTTTCCCTACTTTCTTCAATTTAAGCTAGAATGTTGCAACAAGAAGCTCATGATCTGAGCCACAGTCAGCTCCTGGTCATGTTTTTACTGACTGGGTGCAGGGTAGACCCAAGGAAGAATTTCCTGGCTGTGAGAGTGGTACAACAGTGGAACCAGCTGCCGAAAATGGGTGTGTGCTCTTCCATACTAGATACATTCAAGAAGCAATTAGACACTTATCTGACTGGGATGGTGTAACTGGCATCCTGCACTAGCAGGGGATTGGACTCAATGACCTTCTTGGCCCCTTCTGACCCAGCCACTCTATGAATCTATGACTCTATAATGAAAGTATGGCATGCACCCGAGAGGCATAGAAAACAGCATATATTATTTCTTTTAAAATTATTAAAAACCAGTTGAACTATGTGTGGTTTCATTTACTGAGTTATTTTGCAAGGTCATGATGAGTGGGGAATCAGTTTTCCTATACTGTTTGATGGATTCTTGAACTTCCCATCCTCTAGAACCACTTTCTCTTTTGACTTGTCTGTATAAATGTTGGTTATGACCTATAAAGCCCTTAACGGCTTGGGACCTGGTTATCTAAAGGAACATTTGTATCATGGAGGTATGTCACCCACAGAGGGAGGAGGCCAGCACGGCCTCCTCCTTCTCTTGGCACCAATCTGGAGCTGGGAAACAGATTCTCTTCACTTGGGGAGGCTGGGGCTGGTGAGGCCTCGGGGGACCAGCAGGACCCCCAGCTTGGGATGTCAGGTGGAAAGGGGGCCACTGCAGGAGAGGCGAGGGTCAGGGCAGGGCCGCCCACCAGCACCGGGAAGGTACGGCGACAGGTGATTTTTGTTGGGGACTCCCTGCTGAGGGGCACTGAGGCGGCAGTGTGCCGC